AGTCTCTCATTGGAGTCTGTTTTTGAAGTTTTTCTGTTGTAAGATAGCCACCCGCAGGTCTGACATAGAATGACCAGACAATGTTTGGAATGGCTGAGCCATTACAAACATTGAATCTATCTCCCCTTGTAAGTATTCTCACACTTCTTATCAAATTGTCTGTACTGGGCTAGCTTGATTATCACTTCAAAAGTTTTTTTTTTTTCTCTTACTTAATTGGCCTCTCAGAGTTGGTAAGACAACTCCCACCTGTTCATGCTCTCTGTATGTGTGTATATATATCTCCTCAATATATGTTCCACTCTGTATGCATCCGAAGAAGTGGGCTGTAGCCCACGAAAGCTTATGCTCTAATAAATGTGTTAGTCTCTAAGGTGCCACAAGTACGCCTGTTCTTTTTGCGGATACAGACTAACACGGCTGCTACTCTGAAGACTCTTTCTGGGTTTCACTTAAATCCAGAATCATCTCTATCCCATTAGAAGGATTTTCACAAAACCCCCTTCCAGATAAACTGCTAGATTTCATAGTCACAAGATTAGAAGCATTCTCTTCTTTGCTACAAGTTTCTACACTGTCAGTGGGTAACATGGTCAAATCACTTCATGCTTTTCTTGTGCCCTGGCTATGATATCACCCTGACCGGACCAGGTTGTCATATCTTTACCCAGCAACATACTTGCAACAGGCAAAATAGAAGCACCAGAATCGCTTGGTCTCTGGGAGCTATTCATGACATAAACTGGCTGCATCCTAGTTAAAATGTCATCATCCCTAGCAGACACAAATTCAGGACCACTTCCTTCCTGGGCTTTCATTGTATCCAGAATCAGCTCTGGGTCAACTGATTACCCTGAACAGACACAGGAACGTTTCCTTCACTGTCACAATTCTCCGCACTGGTAACAGGGAAGGTGTAGGGATACTCACGTTCCCCTAACCTGGCCTTCCCACACTGCTGATTAGACAAAGCCATTAGCTCAGAAGGCTGCCTAGGCTCATCTAAACTTTCTTTGCCTTCCCCTCCCCTAACAGATTAACGGCTGTTTCCACAAATGGTGTCTTTTTACACTGAGCTACTTTAAGCACATCACTTTTACCTGGGTCAGGCTGACTTTCCCAGGCTTTACTAGCCAACAATTTATCACTCACCCGACTGTCCCCCTTCTTTCCTCAATTAGGGCTTTAACCTGCTCACCAACTTTAATTTGCTCCAGAGAAACATCTTCCTGAGCCTTATCTAATGCCAGACTCACTTCTGAGATCCCAGACAGACACTCGGGAATTTCTCCCACGTATGCACTGCTTCTCTGCACAGACAAACAGCCATCTTCCTCCGACAAACCTTTGGAGAAACCCTCCATAGGCAAATCCTTGCCCCTGGTAGACACAGGGTCAGGATTATTTCTGTCCTGTGACTGGTTTATGGCATCAACTTGACTGAACAAAGCTTTAATATCAGCCCCAAATAAAAGATCCTTAGGCAACAACTTTTTGACAGCAGCTATAACTTCATGTTTAACACCATTCCATTCTATATGGATTCTGGCTAAAGGCACAATTACAGTCAACTCCTAGAGGATTACAATATTCACTCTGACTTGGTAAATAATCTTCCTCTTTTACAAGATCTGCTTTAACAAAAGTGATTTTAGAAGCTGTAATTTACCCTAAACAGCTTTTCCCATTGACTTTTACGTTCTCTGCACAAGTGACGGGGTTACCTTCACCCAAGCTCACAGTAAAAGCAGTTACATAAAAGGTGGCTGTGTTGGGGTAAATTTGGTTACACACAGACAACGGCTTAGAGTCAAACAACCTACCAACATGGTTACAAACTGGAGAGATTCTATCCCCATCTCTGGTGTTGAGAGGATCTGGCTTTCCAGGATGAGACAGTTCCTGTTGTTCCTTTATTCTCTGGAGTTGGAGCTTAAGTCTGTCCACTTTTCCCTTCGCTTCGAGTTCCTGCAATCGACTCTCTGCCAGTCTCTGTTCATGTTCAAACACAGGCATTCCCTCTCAGCAACTTCTCCTTCCACATCCGCTAGTTTTGCTGTTGTTCAAGTCTAGCTGCTGGTGTCTCACCACAAGCATTTTTGCTGCTTCTTCTTCCTTATCACTGGCAATTAACAGATTTTTCAGTTCCTGCTCCGGGGCCGTTTTCTCAAAAGACAAACCCCTCTGTGAGCACAATTCTTCCAGGCTTTCTCGGTCAGGATCTTGATCAGGGGTCACTCACTGGAGCTGATTTTTAACCCTTAAACTCTCCAATAGCAAAATTAAATTTTGAAAAGCACGTGGTTCTGATCCAAAAACCTAATAAACCTGTGGTAATGTAATGTGCATCCTGCCGACTACGCAACCGTGACCGGGGTGCTAGTGGGGAGCCAGCTGTGGTCACTCAATTAGGGTGAACTGCAAAGAATGGGGCAGACAATCCCCATAGAATTGGTGGATCTTCCAATCCTTAGATTTACCAACCAGCATAAAACAGCTTCTTTATTACCTTACTGGTTACACAGAAATCCAAACAACACAGTGCCCTTAGAGTCATCCAGCCTCAGGCCTCCATCCAGGTACCCACGTTAAATCTGATGAAAATTTCTGTCAATCTTATTTCATCATATAAAAGAAAAGGTTCTACCAACCCCAAAGGATCGGACACAGAGTCTAATGTCCAAATCTCATCTTCAGGGTGTTCCAGCAGAACTGGGGCCTCAGTCTTGCGACTCAAACTTCCCCTGAAGACGTCTAAGCAGGTCTGAGATGACAGAATCAGGACCCAAGGATCTTTTATCCAATTTCATGTCTTTTGACAAGTTGGAGTTCTTCAGGGAACAAAAGGTCATTAGGATGATTTTGAAGGAGATCCATCACCAGTACTTAGCTATACTAATTAATATAAGGCCATTTACTTCTTCCTCCACCGTTCTCTTTCAAAGAGAGATGAATACTGAGATATCACACGTTTACAATTCATTTACATGCTAGGATGTCCTTTTCACCTCTGAACTATCAGAATACAACATACACAGGGACTGTTGATAACACTGTCCACCGGACTCCCCTCCCTTTTCCTTTAATGCAGCAGCACTTTGCAGAGGAGGACGCTGCAGAGGCACATTGTGAGGCTTTATACTGATTCAAGGGATCCTTTACCCAATTCCAACTCACAGTCTCCTAACTGGTTCTCCTGAGATGTTACTAACCCTGAGAGATTGCAAGACACTGTCCACAGTGCACCCACCCAGCCGCAGTTTTCACAGCCCTTTTATTTAAGGTAGACTTCATATTACTGCAATACACTTCAAACCCTTTACATGCATGTTCCCCAATGTATTTTTCTCTTGAAAAGGGTCATCTTTCCATGGGCATGGACCTCAGTCCGCTACCCACTTTGCATGGAGGGTTGGTTCCTCTGCCAGTTCTGCCCCTCATGGCTTTTCAACTTGAGATTCCTACTCACCCTATTCCCTACAGCAGAGGTGAGCAAATTACGGTCCGAGGGCCACATCCGGCCTTCCAGACATTTTAATCTGGCCCTCGAGCTCCCACCGGGAAGCAGGGTCTGGGGCTTGCCCTGCTCCAGCAGTCCAGCCGGGGAGCAGGGTTAGGGTCTTGCCCCACTACTCCGGCATAGGGGCAGCCAGGGGTCTCCACACGCTGCCCCCACCCCAAGCGCCGCCCCCGCAACTCCCATTGGCTGGGAACCACAGCCAATGGGAGTTGCAGGGGTGATGCCTGCACACAGGGCAGCACGCAGAGCCACTTGGCCGCACCTCCACATAGGAGCTGGAGCAGGGACATGCCTCTGTTTCTGGGAGCTACTTTAGGTAAGCGCCACTCGGAGCCTGCCCCCCTGGCCCTCTCCCAGGCCCCAACTCCCTGCCCCAGCCCTGATCCCCGTCCCGCCCTCCGAACCCCTCGGTCCCAGCCGGGAGCACTCTCCCCGACCCCAGACACCTAATCCCCATCCCCACTCCAGAGCCCGCATCCCCAGCCGGAACCCTCACACCCTCCTGCACCCCAATCTCCAATTTCATGAGCATCATGGCCCGCCATACAATTTCCATACCTTGGGCTGCAGTCCTTCTTGACAGAAGGGGCACAAATATTCTGTCCAACTGCTGTTTAAGGCTCAATCAGTTTAGTCCAAATGACCTCGGATGCCCGCATTCTCCACCAGTCCGTTACTCGCTCAATTCAGGGCACCCAGCCTATATCCTTCCGAGGACTGAAAGTGTGACCTGGTCAATTTAGGGCACCCTGCCTATACCCTACCGAGGGCTCTGAGTGTAAGCCACCTATTTTTACCCATGGGGCTCAGGAAGAAACCTGGTCAGCCCTAACGCTAACCCTTTCCCTTGGGGCTCAGGGCTCTACGCGTCTGTGGAAACTTTTCCCAGCAAAAGACTTACACAATTGTGCTCTAAACATCTATTTATTAGTAACACATAGAGAACACACATACCAAGCAAATCTCTTACGCGCACCACTCCCAATATCCAGACACATTTCAGCCGATGGCCAGTCAGGATTCATTCATCTGGGGGTTCCCAGCGATGCCTCTGCACGTCACAGTCGAGCAGAGGGGTCAGAGTTCCAGCAGCCAGATGTTGAACTGCAGTCCGGAAATGGTTCCCAAAGAGCATTGCTTTTCATTTACATTATTTAGCTAAAACTTCCTTCAAATTTACTACACCTATCACAATATCTCACACCCATAAATAACAAACATTTTAACCAATTATGCACTGGCACCTATGTGTCCTCCTTCCTCCCCAATTTCTTTATATTTTCTCTTTCATGCCCAAATGGTAACGTAGTTGTGACCTTCTCGATTTGTGCAGATGGTCAACATAAAACGCTGGTCAGAGCTTATCTTCCCATTTGTCGAGTCTCTTTCTGTATCCTCCCTAATTTCCCAGTGTATGGGCGTCTCTACTTCACCACTTTGGTGGTTATAACTCTCGTTAGGGACATTCCTGAGGTTGGGGTGCTTTATCAGCAGCAGAACATTCTGCTGTAACGCACAGATCACACTCCCATCCTGCAGAGTCCACCCAGATGAAGATGTAGGTAGGTACCTACATGGATACTCGGACTGAGCTAAGGGGATTAGCAGGGGATCTGGAGACCGGAGCCCAAACGATCATTCCCCCCACAGTTCATGACCTGCACTCGGCGGGGGGCATATGGGGGACCCCATTAGCTATTGACCAGAGCTGGGTGTCATAATGACAGAGCCTCTTCGGAGGGAGCCACATTTCTGTACCATTAGGACCCCATGTGGCAGGCTGTCACCCGACAAATCTGGCCTGGCCACGTCTCCCCAATGGGAGGCTGGGACAATCTTGCCCCCCACAAACACACTTCTCCAGTCCCGCCCATGCCACTGAAACAGCCGTGGAAATCTTGGCCCTAGTAACCCTGGCTAACGGGGTGTCTTCCCTGGAATAATTTCAGGCATTTACAAAATGGTATCACGAAGCTTCAAGCCCTTCCCAGCCGATGAGACGCAGATCTCTGTAGCTAGTCACAAGTTTTTCTCCCCCAAAAAGGGTATGTTGTAAATTTTTCTCTACCCATCCCCCAATATTGCCCCCTGCCTCCACTCCCATTCCCCAACCCCTTTCCTTCCACCTCAGACCAATCCCTGTAGCCCACCAGTCCCCACGTCCATTCCCCCCACCATCCCTACTCCCTTCCTCCACCTCTGCTGCCCACCTGCCCCCCTACCCAGCCCCCTCCCCTCTCCTCACAGTTGGCTCCATTCCTCATCCCCCCTTTCATCCTCCAGTCCCTTGTCCACCTCTCCCCGGCCCTTCCATTCCCAATTCATCCCCATCCTGGCATCCCACTCCCCACTCTCCCAGTCCCCCCTCAGCACCCTGCCTTCCCCCATCTCCCCATCTTCACACCCATCACAGCACATACTCCCCTCCCTCATGCGTCCCACCTCCGAGGCCTGCTCCCCCTCCTGTCTCCCATGGCAACAGGTGGCCTGGCCTACCCACACGCCCCCATAGCCTAGGCAGACCTTGATGCTGATGCAGGCTGTGAGGGCCAACATAACCAGAGCCATGTGCTTGTCGGCCTGGCCCCGCACGGCGCACTCGAGGGCAGGGGGACAGGCCGGGGTAC